ATGATCGCAGGTTAAAGGAAATGCATTGCTGACATCCCCTAATTCTCTTTTATCCATTCCCTCTGCGAGCTCTCTGATGTCTTAAGCCTGATTGTCTGTGAGAGAAGTCCCCCAGCTCTCCGAGCCCAGGGCCTTAGGCTTGTGGCCTTACCGCATCCTACGTGCTCTTAGACGACTTGGGTGGAGGTGAGAGCTGCCAGGCTGTGAAGTTCAGTGTCCCTTCTGGGCTTCATTGCCACAGACACATTGTTTCTCATTACTAACGCCTTAACGGCTGAACTTAGTTTATTGTTTTGTTTTGATGGCGGGGGATGTGTATCTGACTTTCCCACCCTACAGAGGCTTTGCGATTCCTTAATCTTACAGTGGCCTAAATCAGCCTCCTGTAAGGCTGGGTTTTATAAGAGTAGGAAGGTTGTATACTTGGAACAGCAAGATTTATAATTAAGTGTGTGTATGTGTGTACGTGTGTTCCTTCCATAGATCAGGAACTTGTCGTTACTGTCTGGTGCTCTTGAAAGGGACAGATGTCGGTGTCTAAAGTGGATTGGGGCAAAGATAGCTTTAGTGAGTCTAGTGGGAGGGCCGTGGAGCATGCTGCTTGGGGTACCCATTACAGTGTTTCTGCATTTATGGAGGTGGGTTCGAGGGCTGTGGGCCAGGGTGGGTGCTCCCCGGAGGTCTTAGAGGACAGAGCTATAAATCAAAGAGATAAGCACTCCTAAATTCTTAATTCTCATAAGTATAGTTTTTAAAAGAGTTTTTGTCTTACTTAAAAGATTTGGAAAGATTTTTGGCTTCAACAGTACAGGTTCATTTGAGGAACCCTTTAATAACTAACTGAAACTATCCCCTGAAGTCACCTTGAAACTAAGTAATAGTTTAGCCCAAAAAGTAAAGATTGTCACCCTTGAGTATTGCATCTCTTTAAAAAAAAAAATTATAGAAGACCAAAGAGTCGACAGCTACGTTCAAGCGTAGATGAGAAGGTTGGGGGGCAGGGAGATTAAGGAAAACAAATAACAAGAACGTTGCCACAGTGTGAAGAATGCAGCCCACTGTCACTGATACTTATGTCTAGCAACTGGACTGGGAGCGGGTTTTGCTGTATATTTTTTCACCAAAAAAAAAAAAAAAGACCCAGAAAACACTTCAGTAACCAACATCATACATTTGAAGGGGCACAGAGGTGAAATGCAGCATGCATAAATAAGGAGAATAAGAAATGAGGTGCTTTTTTTAAGGTCTTTTGAGTAGAGCAAGGAGCCTGGTGGTGCAGCAGTTAAGGGCGTGGCTGCTAACCAAGAGGTCAGCGTTTGGAACCCACCAGTGGCTCTCCGGGGACAGGATCTGCTTCTGTAAAGATTTAAAAACTCCATTGCTGTTGAGTTGGTTCCGACTCGTAGCAACCCTATAGGACAGGGTAGAACTGTCCCATAGGGTTTCCAAGAAGTGGCTGGTGGATTGGAACTGCCGACCTTTTGGTTAGCAGCACGGCACTTAACGTCTGTGCCACCAGGGCTCACCGGTAAAGATTACAGCCTTGGAAACCGTATGGGACACTTCTGCTCTGTTACGTGGGGTCACTATGAGTCAGAACGTCTCGAACAGCACATGGCAACAACAGCGTTGAATAGGGTTGCATCTTGCAAAAGATACACGCTGGATCTTTTTAAAATCAGAAAACATGTTTTTAAACGGTAAGTAAGGTTTCTGAATTTGAGAGTGTGACAATTTTGCACTTAAAATGTATTTTTTATGTTCATATTTGTTTCCATTTCAAATAGTTGACAGTCTTTTCAAGTATGTTCTCCCTTCCCAAAACATAATGTTCTTTTTAAAAAAAAAAATACACACTATGATGCATACTACAAACCCTTACTCGGGGAAGGAAATGATTACATTTGTTCTTAGTAGGGCAGCATTTCTTTGTCCTAATGAGCTGTTGCTGTAAGAATGTATCCTAGAGGGAACATACCATTTCCCTGTTTAAAGTTTGCAGTCCCAAAGAGTCAGCAGTTCTGTCTTAACTGGCCACATCCTGATACAGTGGATGGGAAAGCTGGTGCCGGACAGGTGGGCTGGCACCTGTCCCCGTGTGTCTCGGTGACTTGGTGCTGCTGTAACAAATACCACAAGGGTGGCTTTAACAGACGGAGATGTATTCTCTCACAGTCGAGGAGGCTAGAAGTCTGAATTCAGGGGAAAGCATTCTCTCTC